GACAGCTACCTGGCCAACTGACTGGAAGAGATCCATATTTGTACCCATTCCAAAGAAAGGTGATCCCGCAGAATGTGGAAATTATCAAACAATATTAATATCACACACAAGTAAAATCTTGCTGAAGATAATTAAAAAACAGCTACAGCAGTATATTGGCAGAGAACTTCCAGAACTGCAAGCTGGATTCAGAAGAGGACATGGAATGAAGGATACCATTGCTGACATTAGATGGATCTTAGCTGAAAGCCAAGAATACCAGAAAGATGTTTACTTGTGTTTTATTGACTATGCAAAAGCATTTGATTGTGTGAATCACAACAAATTATGGTTAACATTGAGAAGAATGGGAATTCCAGAACACTTGATTGTGCTCATCAGGAACCTACCTGTACATAGACCAGAAGGCTGTCATTCAAACAGAACAAGGGGATACTGCATAATTTAAAATCAGGAAGGGAGTGCATCAGGGTTGTATCCTTTCACCATACTTGTTTAATCTATGCTGAACAAATAATCTGAGAAGTTGGACTATATGAAGAAGAATGTGGCATTACGATTGGAAGAAGACTCATTAACAACCTGCGATACCGAGATGACACAACTTTGCCTTGCTGAAAATGAGGATGACTTGAAGCACTTACTGATAAAGATTAAAGACTTCTGTCTGCAGTATGGATTACATCTCAGCATAAAGAAAACAAAAATCCTCAAAACTGGATCAATAAGCAGAATCACAATAAATGGAGAAAAGATTGAAGTTGTTAAAGATTTCATATTACTTGGTTTCACAATCAACACCAATGGAAGCAGCAGTTAAGACATCAGAGGACATATTGCACTGGGCAAATCTGCTGCAAAAGACCTCTTTCAAGTGATGAAGAGCAAAGATGTCTCTTTGAAGGCTAAGGTGTGCCTAACCCAAGCCATGGTATTTTCAATCACCTCATATGCATGTAAGAGATGGACAATGAACAAGGAGGACCGAAGAAGAGTTGATGCTTTTGAGTTGTAGTTTTGGTGAAGAATACTGAAAGTACCATGGACTGCCAAAAAGAATGAACAAATCTATCCTGGAAGAGGTGCAGCAAGAATGTTCCTTGGAAGCGAGAATGGTCAGACTTTGTCTCACCTACTTTGATCATGTTGTCAGAAGGCACCATTCTGTGGAGAAGGATATAATGCTTGGTAAAGTGGAGGGTCAGTGAAGAAGGGGAGGGTCCTCAATGAGACAGAATGACACAGTGGCTGCAACAATGGGCTCAGGTATAGCAAGGATTGTGAGGCTGGCACAGGACTAGGCAATGTTTTGGTCTGTTGTACACAAGGTCGCTTTGAGTTAGAGCCAACTCAATGGCACCTAACAACAACAACTAACAACATACTTCATTTTATATTTTTAATAGTTTGAAAATGTATAACTTTTACCTGTACTATACATACATAATTATTCTAAAACAATCCTATTTTCTAAAAGTCCCAAAATAAGAATACTGTATTTACATACAGGAGAACCATTTCAGGTAGTGACCAGGGAACATCTCTCTGCTTTACTAAATGTGTCTGAACTCTCACCAGGTAGTGGCAGGAAAAGGAGGTTCAGACTATGTCTGAATAGAGATGGATGCATATACATCAATATGAGAAATTTATGTTGATGGTATTATTCATCAAAATGCTTTAAATTTTTCATTTAAATGCAAATACTTTAACTTCATTTATCAAAAAACTATATTTTATTCTGGGTTAGTACATAAAAATAACATATTTTTTTTACATTCAAATTCAGGGCTTCTACAGTTGTCTGTGTTCTCCATGCCTGTATATCGGTATTATAGGGGCTAAAATCTCCCATAGGATATGGCCTGATGAGACCAGTGTGACCTTGCAATTATATATAAACCTTGTTTAAAATATTCAATATGGGGCTTGCTCACTGCTGAGGTGTAGGTGGGCAGCTGACTGGCACCAGGATGCCAGAGTGATGAGAAATCCAGTTATCAAAATTCACTCTAGAAGAGAACCCAACAGACCATAACAATGGAAGAAACTGAGAAAGTTATTTAAAAGCCACCATTCCCAAAACACCAAGCCCAGATGCTATTACAGGTGAATTTTTTTAAACTTCCAAGGAAAATATAATTTTGATAACATTTAAATTGTTCCACAGCAAGAAGGAGGAAAAATCAAGATTCCTTTTACAAAACCAGCAGACCACTGATATCAGGACTTGAAAAAAGTAGTATTAAAGTTGAAAACCTGAACTGTTATATAAATAGTAATGTGAAATTTAAAAATAAAATATTAGCAAATGGAAAAGAATAGCCAGTGCATCAGCAAGATGTACGTACCATCACTATTTTATTTGGCAGTAACAGAAATACATCCATGTGAATTACTTCACTTATCTTGGCTGAAGAGCCAGTGCTATTTTTCTGTTACTGTAGTGTTTTACTTTTACACACATTAATGAGTACAGTCCTTACATTTAGGAAACAGAAACATTTACTGGTATTAGTCAAGTGAAGCTAATATATGATTGTCCTCAAATGAAACAAAACAATAATATAATCACTAGGGACAGAGTAAGGATATCCTTATTTCCATTAATAACAGATTATAAAAATTCTTAAGTCCCACAGACAGAGCTATTTCTAAATTTGATTAATTCAAGGAAAAAACATAACTTTTTAAGTCAGCCTAATTCTTATAATCATTCTGAAATACACATTAAAAATAATTTCCTAATACATATTCACATTTAAATAAATGCAAATGGCTTATAAACATAATCTAAAATCTCTTATAACAAAAGGTCATAGAGAAGGACAGTTATGTTATTTTGGCACTCTTGTTTCCTAGGCTTAAAGAAATGATAAACTAAAGAATCCTCTTGTAATGCAAATAATCATTCCTTGGGTAATTATTTAAGTAGAAAATGTTACATTTTAAGCAAGAAAAAATTTGTTAATTTTTTTTATAGTTAGGTAATTCAACAAATTAATAGAACCATAGTGAATGGATGCAAAAAATCAATACTACTTTATGAATGAGAGAGGAATATCTTTGGAGCTGACTCTAACAGTATGGAAAACTTGGTTTCTTTTTAAAAAGATAATCCCATCTTGACATTTAATAAACATACTGTTAAGATGCAAGAAGAAATCAGTGGATATTTACTTGAACAAAAACACAGGAAAACCAAAAGGGAAAAAAGTAGAAATAGTAAGTATAAATCACCTGAACATTTATCTTTTCTTCTTCCAGAAAACAGAAGAAGAAAATCCATTTTCTTAGAACTAATTCAAGGCCCTCTTAAACCTTACACATGAAGTGGACTGTAGACTCAAGGTAGCAATGACATTCTTCTGATAACACCACCATGAGTACATAAGCGTTAAACAGGGTTTCACTCTAAAAGGCTGTAAACTAGTTTAATCATTTATTTTTTAAAGCCTTGTTTTTGCTGTTTAATCTAATTTTAAGGCAAATGGAAATTGTAATGTATGTATTAAGTATCCTTCTGCTATCAGTAATATTTTTTTTATGAACTTAAAAGTAGTGTTTCTTCTCTTACAATAGAGCTTTTTCCTATACTTACTACCCTGAAATCCTATTTGGTCACTCTTATTCCTTTTGTCAAAGGCCACAAAGAAACATCTTGCTAAAGTAGTAGCTACTGAACAGACCAGAATCCAATCAAACTTCAAGCACTGAGTTTAACAAACCAACTTCTTAAATACAGACCTTTTCCCCCCAAAGGTGAAATATAAAAAGGAAAAATAATAACTCTGAAAAGCCATTCATCTTATTTAATGAAATAAAATCTCCAGAGTTATCTTATGTAGTAGCAGCATCATTAAATAGTGCAATTCTTCAAAACTGATTTCAAATGAAAAAAATAAATTTGCTTAAAAAAATTAAGTTTGCTTATAGCTTTGTCTATAAACCACAGCTTAAAACATTTAGCCCCCAAATGAGTAAATTAACATAATCACTGTCTTACCTATGTAGTAATGGGAACGTGTGTTTATACCTGTATTTGTATGGTACCTCAACAAGGTAAAACTACACAATATTAAGTTAAAAGTAAAACATTACATAATGGAATTTTTAGTTTGGGTACTTCTGATTATATTCCTCCATTAATAAGAAGAATATATGTAAGAAAAGTCAAGGAGTGATATACTCAAAACATTTAGAGCAATGTTTCTTATTAATTAGTATAATGCTGTAACCTACATGCAAACAAGATCAAAGTTCTGAATTTCATATTTTGTATATTACATAAATACAACAATTTAAAACTTTAATAGACTATACTTTTTTTGTTTTAATTTTCATTAATCAGAAACTAGGCACTTAAAATACATTTTAAAAAATGTATTTTAGATCATTCTGGGTATTTAACTCCTAAAATGAATAAAGCCTACTTCAGGAACAAAAGGAACAGACCCAGTCCACTGACATACTAAATCAGCCACTCCAAATATACTCTGAAGAAGAACCTTACTCATGAATAACCATTCTGTACCTATCTTCATCATAAAGGATAGGAAATATACTTCCATATCATAAAAAATATTTTTTTTCTACATTCAAGGGAGAAAAACATCTACTTTGAAACCATACTAAGATTCAAAGTATGACTTATTTTTAAAAAGTAGTCATAATATATGACAAATTCCCAGCATGCTAAATTCTGTGGAAATAATTATAAGCCAATTTTGTCAGAGAAAGGAGAAATATTTTACTATCCCAAGATCAAACCATCACATTCTGAAAGACAGTTTCAAAACTATACAGAAAATATTTTTAATTGCCTATTAGTTAATAAATATTATCTTTTCAACTGATATTCATTCAAGGGAAAAAGGCTCTATAAAAAAATAAAGTTCTTCAGTCCCTCTATTGTAACTCATAGGACTAGCAGTAACATATTTTGCAAACTGCAGTAAATCTAATAAAAGCTATAAATTATAAACTTCTGTGTCAATTCATTAAATGTTTCATAATTATACTCAGCCATTGTAATTTCTTTGATTCAGTTACATAAGCAAATATATAAGCAATATTGTATGCAGTACATATTAACACCACTACTTCCTAAAGTTGGTAAAACAAATGAACACTTTTACAATCAAAAGTATGTTTTCAGGCAAAAATACATGTTGACACTAGAAGTAATATATTCTTACATGTGTGAGCCACAAACATCTTGGCTAGAGCATATATTTTCTAGGCACAAAGCTTAAAAGCAAAGCTTTTGAGAATGATACTGAACATTTCAGACAGCTTCAAGAAGACAAATCAATTAACTCCCAAGTACTGCCTTCAATTCAAGCAATATTTCTGGGAAACACACATTTCACACCTTGAATTGGTTACCTAAAAATTGTGGGGAAAAAAAACTGCTTTGGATATGCTATACAGGAATTCAATGGTAGAACTTCTGCATACATACAGTACAGTCCATTTATTATTCTCTACTAGATTTTTTTTCCTCCCTGAGTCCACATTTACCAATTCTGTGATTTTGTAATATAGGTTACAAAATCAATAGTTACCTTAAAATATTTCATAGCATACTCAAATTATATGATTCTTATGGTGCTTATTGTACTTTGGCTTCCAATAGCCCACTGGACATAACATGGCCATGATTACTTATACAGCTACTCGCATGCCTCAGTGCATCTGCTCCCAGATAGGCCGTGACAAGTTCCGTGCGGCGAATGAGTAACTGCATGAGATCTTCAGCCAAAGTCTCTATACTTGAATACCGTACTTTCTCGAAATCAAAAATGTCTTTGAGAAAGAAAACAACTTGATTCTAGAAAATGAACACAAATTGGCATTTATTAGAACAAAATTACATTAAATTTAAGGAGTTACTAATATTGTAACGGGAGCTCTGGTAGCATACTGGCTAAGACACTTGCCTGCTAACCAGATGGCTGGCGGTTCAAACCCACCAGCCACTCCTCGGAAGGAAGGTTGGGCAATCCTACTTCCATAGAGATACAGCCTCGGAAACCCAAGGAGGGGTCGCTATGAGTCGGGTTTGACTTGACGGCACATAACAACAACAACAACAAATATTGTAACAAGCACTTTATTAGAAGTGAGACAACCTGAGTTCCGGCACAAATTCTGTATCTTATTAGGAAAGGGACCTTGAGCACATAATTTAACCTCTCTTGGGTCTAATTTTCTTTTTCTGAAAAATAAGGGATAATACTACTTGTTCTATTTACTACTCAGAGCTCATGTGAAGCTCCTTAAAAATGACTATAGTTCTTAAAGCCCTGTATAAATGTGAAAAACAAACCAAACATATTGCCACTGAGTCGATTCCAACTCACAGCCACCCTACAGTACAGTGTAGAAGTGCCCCATAGGGTTTCCAAGGCTGTAATCTCTACAGAGCAGACTGTCTCATCTTTCTCCCATGCCTTGGCTGGTGGGTTCGAACTCCTCACTTTGGTTAGCAGCTGAGCACTTAACCATTACAGCATGAGGGCTCCTTGTAGAAATATAAGGGGTATTATTATTTCTTTCTCGATAATTGAAGTTTGCAATGTTAGCTCTAAATACTGATACTATTTTAAGACAGATGAGCAAACTATTTCCAATAATCACAAATAAAAATTTCTCTACAGATAATGTTCTTCTGTGCATAAAAATAACCTAAGACATAAAAAATAAAAATAATATCAGTTCTCAATTCTTAAATCAGTGGAAGATCTTGAAGGATATTTCAGTTCAATAAGTGAATACTTCTGCTGAAACTAATTTTAAGCAAGTTATACATTATTGACTAAATATTAATTCTCAGAATGCTTTGTCATGATGGAAAAAACTAATTCCAAAGAGCAAAAAACTAGGAACATTAAATTTCTATTCTCCAGAAACAATATATTTAGAAGTAGTAAGAAGGCACACTTCATAGATTCCCTGGATTTTACATCTAAAGTGTCCTTAGCAATCAACTTGTCCCCTCATCTTATAGATGAAGAAAAGGAGGACCAAAGAATGACTTGCTCTCAAGTCATTGCTCATTACTAACAAAACCATTTTCATCCCAAACTTTTTCCACTAAAACACATTTGGGAGACAAAGCTAACTAGTCAAAGATTAATGCATTTTGAAAAACAGTAAATAAACACTTCCCTAAACTACACAAATTCTACACAAACAGCACATAAACATAATGATTTAATTTTTTAAAATGAAAGGTATAGTAAAATATCCAAACTTTCAAATATCTAAAACTTTCAGTTCACACTTAACTATGTTTATTTGCTCTTTGAAATCCAGCCTAACCTCAGAATTATTAATGAGCCAGACTTTCCTTGGCACTTTGCCAGGAACAAAGTTCTGTAATGAACTATAAGTTGTTCTTTGGGCAAATTTAAACATGGAGGTATAACTTTAAACTCCTAGGTTATTACTTCACAACTTGGCTTTTATTACTCATCTTATCTTAAACCAGAATTAATCTCTAAATTACCACCTGTCTGTTTTATAAATTCCAAAAGTTCCCAGTCATAAAGAATAAACTAAGTAGCAGCAATTTGATTGTAACATGGTAATACCTTCCAAGAACATGTATCCATTACAGAATTAAATGAAAAGGTGAATGGACTAGTTGAGTCTACTCCAGGACAAAGCTTCAACTCTACATAATACTGGTCCTGGTCTACTGACATTTAAACACTGTATTTATGTGACTTTTATAACTGTACTTTTAAATAACATTCTTTCTTTTACAAAAACAAGACAATAAAACCTTAACTGCTTCTCAGTTTAGAAAAAAATAATGATTCAATGACTGTACATACCTTAAAGAAGCAACATAAATCATAAAGAGAATTTCTAGGACCCAAAAAGCCCCAGGCTAGCACAGGGCTGATATGCTCACAAATGGCATAAAAATGGGCAAAAAATCCATCTGGGATCTGTTGGGAAGGAGAAGAGAACCAAATTATTTTTACCTTCTTGCATTTGCTTTCCCTGATAGAGAAACTGAAATTGCTATCATATGGTCAGCTATTTTTTGAGGGTAGAAGAATTAATAGTGAACCAGTTTGTTGAGAAAGTTGATAAACTTACAAGTAACTTTAAGCGTTGCTTAATGTTTTGTATAGATTTCATATCCTAGCCAAGAGTTTCAAATGTGCTGGGAAGTATTCTTTCTTAAAAAGCATTTTTCACTTCATAAAAATACTTCACAAAAAAGCAATCATATCAGAGTCATAACCAAGTAAAAATAAGAATACTATGATGTTTCTTAGTAATAGAATTTTTAGGGTTAATAAGACTACCATAGTCTCAGTTATTAAAAAGCCTTGCTATTAAAACTCAATTACATTTAACACAATCCTGATCCAGATTTCAACATTTAACATGATCCCAATCCACACTTCAACAAAATTTTTTAAGGACATGGAAAAACTAATTACTAATTTCATATGGAAAGGAAAGAGACCTTGAAAAAGCAAAGCACGTCTCAAGAAGAAAAACAAAGTGGGAGGTCTCACACTCCCAGATCTTAAGAACTACTATATAGCCACAGTAGTCAAAACAGCATGGTATTGGTACAATGACAGACAGATAGACCAATGGAACAGAATCGAAAGCTCAGACATAGACCCATCCATCTACGGCTAACTGATCTTTGACAAAGGCCCAAAGCC